CAAAGACCATCACGTCACCACCCACAGCACCTCCCTGGATCGAGCAGTGAGGGGACAGGGCGGAAACAGTCCCAGCGGCCGCGCTAATTGAGTGACGGGGTCTCAGGAAGGAAGGGGAGCACTGGAGTGGAGAGGTGTCCTCCGTCCGTCAGGTGCTGGCGACTGGGACAGGTGGTGACGGGGGTGCCGATCGGAGAAAGGGTGTGTGCTGAGCTAACACAGAGACCTGCCCGACTCAGCGACTGGGGACAGGGGTCACTGGTGTCAACAGCACTCGGGCCACCTGCGCATGAACGTTATTGCTTTGATGCCAAACGATTTACGATTGGGAACTTGGAAAGTGTTCATCTGGAACCAACAGACGCTTTTTCAGTGTCATGTCTGAATGTGGTACATTACATCTTCCCACATCAAGACATTCTTGGTTTACACCACATGCATGCATGGACAGCACGTATGTGACGTCCCACCGTTAATTGGCCGTCGGGAATTCGCCAGGGATGTGCGCTATCGCCTTTCCGGATCGTACTACACGTTCCGCCTGGGGAACACACACAGTACGGGCTTCGCACCCATCTGCCGGACGAATGCCGCGGCCCCGCCGTCCCCGTCCGGACCAACAGGTGGTCACCCTGCTCCGTGGAGGGCTGCAGGCTTCCAGGCCAGGTGAACATACCGTAGCGGCGTGTGGAACACCGTTGCAGCGGCGAGTGACCGCCAGCTTCCTTCCGTCGAGCGTCCCCCGACCGCCGGCTGGCGGCCAGCAGGGGCCAGGGTCCTGTGTAGGTGGGCGGCCGGTTCGCCCTTACAAGCCGAGTGACCATCACGTTGCAGCTTGCAGTCTCACTTCCTGCTCAGGAGAACGGCGCAGTAAGTGACTGGTGGTCTGTATTGCAGGGTAATGGTCCGTATTTTCGGACCGATCCCCAGGCGATCTGCGACGAAATTGGCACGTGTATGTGTGGCGCACAAGCTCGTCTCAGCTAGGACAATTTGTGAACATTGCAACCAATTTGTAGTTCTGGATCACGCTTCGAGTCTCTCTTCTGTCGATAAGGGAATATGAGAATTTATACAGTACCTACTAGTACCTCGTACTATGCAGAATTTCAAGCAGCAAAGGCCGAATAATGGGCGAATAATAATTAATTGTGACTCCATTCAATCAGGATGAAATCAGAATAATTCAACCCCAACTTTCAGCACCGATATTGAACCGGACTCTCCCTTGACTCTCCCCTGTCTTGCTGCTCCAATTGATTCTAAAAGAACATCGTCTTCTTACCTTACCGAAGCTCATAAAGGTCAAACAGCAGCCCCTGCCGTAAATCGACGTCCATCTCGATTAGGGAACCCGATCTCACGAAAAACCCATCGTGTCGGCGGCGGCGGCGGGGCCATGAATAACGCCGGCCGGCCGGCCGCCGACCCGCACCTTCTCGAAAACAATCGGCGCCGATACACGGCCGATGAGCGCGCATTCCGGACGATAATTAGAAACATCCCGCGGCGGCGCAAAAACAGAGCTGCGAGCAGCCCGGTCCGTAAGTCAGCGGGGGCGGCGGCGGCACGGCGCCCGGTCAAAGCACTGTCGAACTGGCAGCGCGCGAGCCAGCCCTTACCGAGTACCGGCGCCGCTCAGATGCCTGCATAATCTGAACCTTGTTTGTGAATGGGTGGCGGAGGAGGCGGCGGCGGCGGTGAGCAGGGCTGCGCCGCGGGCGGCAGCCGCTGCCGCCCGCTCTGGTCCTCCTCCTCGGGTGGGTCGCGACCCCGGGAGGAATTCAGCTGCCTCTGGCCGCTGCCGTCTGCCCCTGGCTACCTCCGGCCGCGGCGGCAGAGCGGCTACCCGGTGTTCAGCCGGTGCACAAGTGCCGCCAACCACCGGCGGGAAGGTTAGCGCTGCAGATTAATGCTCGATTGCACAGTCGTGATCGGGCGCTCACCGCTCGTTACGCCCGGGTAGGAGACGAACTGCTATTCGTGGAATGCGGAGAGCCGCCGTAAAAGTGAGATCTCTCGGAACAGCTGACAATGGCCCGGCCCGTGCAGACCGGCTGGCGGAGGAGTCCCATGTCGGCCGCGGGACACATTCCGACCGGGCGCCCTCTCGGTGTGAGTGTTGTGTTTGCTGCACTTGTCCGGCCGCCCGGTGTCGTGTTCAAAACAGGTGCTTACTGCACTGAGCAAACAGAGCATGCCAAACTGACACGCAACGAGAGACCGGAAACGAAGCATCTTGCTAATCCTATGAGCGCTGAGCTATGTGCGACCTGCGTGACATATATGTCTAACAGATGATGCCATTGAAGTACAAACTGATCTAAGCCTTGTTATAATATCCACATAGATCAGCCAGTGATCAATCGCAGTATCGGTGTGCAATAAAAAAAAATCGCAAGGAAAGAGAAAACACTTTGATGTTCAATGACAAAAGTAATTTAAGATAGCATAGATGCACTGTTGTTGCTTTTTTTGCGACAGTGAGCTGCGCTTCGACAGAACTACTGTTCGGTGTGCACAAGTTAAAAATGTTTCTGTTGCAATGGCTCCACAAAAAACTGTTTGATTATTAATTTCAATTAATAATTGACACTTAACTCAACCGTTTGCTTCGGTGGTCTGCGGAGAGCAAAAAGGAATGCAGAATGAACGTCCACCGGTGCCATTCATCTCCATTTTGAACTCTATTACCGTAATAGAATCAGCCAAGACGTACCGCTCAGTTTCATGACTGTTTATGACATTACCAGAAACCGAAATGGGCACCCTTTTGAGCAGAATGACGAGACGAACATTAACATGACAAAGACAATGTGATTGCCGGCCCAGCTCCAACGAGTATTGGGCGCAGGAATGTGACAAATTACAGTGCTCCTGCACCCGACTCTGGTCCGGACCAGAGCGGCTCATTCAAACCGCGGCAGAAGAATGTCTCTGTCCAAACGGCCGTCCCCTAACTACCGTGTTTAACCCGTCCGCTCGGGATGGCTGCGAGCCACCGTCCCTGGCCCAGCCGTTTAGCTGCATCTGAGGCGCACCTATCAATCTGTGCGAGCTCCGCCGGGGACAGTAGACATACCAGACACATTCCATGGCCAGCATATCATTACCGGTGCCGCTCTATAGGACTATCATCACAATAAGCAGCCTGTTCAGACAATGGATCCATTCATTCCAGCCTTGTCCCGTGCGAGAAAGGATAAAGGTGTGCACTGTGCACTGTGCAGGTGGCGCAGAAAGAGGGAGAATCTCTCCCGATCTGGCACGATTAATGAAATCAGACAAACTACCGTCCTATGTACTTTAGCCACTTTTTTGCTCTCTCTCTCTCTCTCTCTCTCTCTCTCTCTCTCTCTCTCTCTCTCTCTCTCTCTCTCTCTCTCTCTCTCTCTCTCTCTCTCTCTCTCTCTCTCTCTCTCTCTCTCTCTCTCTCTCTCATTCCCTCCCTCTCTTCCTCCCGTCCAGTATACCTTTCCATCACGTCCGGCGTCTGTCTCCTGGTTCCGGTCCGGGCCCGTGGTCTCCACGTCCCGTTCCACTGGCACTCAGTGCTTCACATACTACCAAACCCACAGAAATCCGCTGCCCGCCACCAAATTACACGTCTACTTAGGTATATCGGTGAGCGGCAGCCCACAGCCAGCCGAGCGTCAGAACTGCGCGGTAACGCACGCGCCCTGCCCCGCCACCTCCCGACCACAGTCGCGCTGTTCCGCGGCGCTCCGGCCCAGGTCAGTGCCTGTTCCGGTGGACTTCCGGCCAAATCGGGGAGATAAAGAGGTCCTGTCCGTTTCTGATTGTGTTTGCGGTATGGGTGAGCCGACGGTCGGAAGTGGCTGAGCCCTCAGCCCGATGGCCGTTAGAGGGAGACGGTTGGCTGAGGGGGCGGGGCCGGTCGACTGACACGGCACTGCGCCACACGTCACTCTAGGCCCAGGGCGTCATCCGCCCGTCATCCAGGCGTCATCCAACCGTCACTGGACGTCATCCGGGCGACGGTCGGTAGCGGTGAAACGGCGGCTGGGGCATAGCTGGACAGGAACAGCGGTGGTCACAGCGCGGTTAGCTTCGCCAGGAGGGTAGAGGGTTTGAACATCCCCGGATCCTGGGTGGTTCCCACTTCCTTCCAGAACTTTGCAGGCTGCCACCCCAACGTTCTCATGCGCCCGAACCAGCCCCACACGACCCCTCTGACCGAAGACGACCCCGTCAGTTCTTGGACGGCCCCTGCACTGCGGTGAACCGTCCCTTATAGACCTGCGGCGAGCCCCCAGGGTGGACCACTGACCGCTCGCTCCCTGCCGGCGTTGGCCCTGCAGTGGCCACGTGCCACGCGCGGCAGCCCCCGCCCACCACCTGGTTACGCCGATTGTTGCAGTGTGCAATCACCGGTCGGGCCGTGACGCTGCGCACCTGGGCCTGTGCGCCGCGGCCCGAGTGACCCGACCGACCGGGCGGACAGCAGCCGGCAGCTGCGTCAGCCGGCCGCCAGCTGCCCACCGGGACGTCATCATAGCCTGGGTGGTGATAGAAAGTGGATGGTGTGCGCTTGGCAACCGCTAAAGCCATGAGCACTGGAGAGCATTGATCAATATGCTGAATGGTCTTCTGGAGACAGCGAGATGCCCTTTGTAACGCACCGTCCCTGTAGGACAGGTCTTAACACAGGAAGATCTCTCGGGTTTGTTTTTCTCGAAGTATCGAAACTGCTATGGCTACGACGTCGTTCAGACGTCATTCGGATGTACCCGTGACGAAAAGAGCGTATAATCGGGGATCGAATCCACTCCCGGGACCCGCTATCTCGCCCTTCCCCATCCGATCCGTTATCAGCAAGTCTTCTTTTATCTCTGGCAGTCTTTGTCCGCGTCTCGGGCCCGTCTGGGCGCCGGGCGGGGGCGGGGGCGGGGGCGGCCGCGGCGGGGGCTTGGTCGTACGCAGCGCGGCCGCCGGAGCCCAGCGATGACACGTCGTTTGTCGCGGCCGGCGACGTTGTCAGATGTGTCGGCTGTCACGTTCGCGCGCTGCTCCGTGCGTGCGTGTCGCCCGTAGCGGCGGTCCGAGACCTCAGTCGCTGCGCCGGTCTGTCGCTCCGGGTGCCACAAGGCCACCACCCAAGCCGACCACGCGGCCGTGTCGCCGGCTGCCTGACAACTGACTCACACCTGACTGAGAGACGTTACATCAGTCCGTGGGAGGCGGAATGTGACCGTGGCTGTAGTCAGAGAGCCGTGTGCCGTGTACTACAACCGTGTTGAGAGTTAGATGGTGTTGATGGAGGGAGATTAGTGCACTCGAGGAAGCTCGAGGAAGTGCACTCGAGTACCGTTGTAAGAAACTGGGGTCAAGTGTGAACGGAAGCGGTCTATCGTTGGATGTGTTCACCCGCGGTACGCCAACATGAAAGCGTACACAATGTGACTGATACACTATCTGAATGATGTCATATCACATCATCCCATTACCAGAATTGACGGAGTACAAACAACCCTTGAAGTCGGATCCTCTTTCAAAGTGCCTCCTAAACGATTGCATTTTAATGGAACTCTTCAGACGGCTACCAAAGAAAACAGCCCTGAAGCCAGACACGCCCCTGCGCATTATACCGGTCACAGTGATGCCTGACGGTGACCTGAAGGTGTTTGGATCAGCCATCTCCTCTGCCACACATATCTCATTGATCAGTCGCCAGCGCTCTCTGACCCAGCCGGGGTCTGATGAGCGGGGTCCGCGGTGTCCACTGCCGACCGCCGGCGCCCTCTGGAGTCCCGGACCAAAGGCCCCCGGCTGACGGGGTGAACAAGGGACCGGCGGTGTCACCGGGCCGAGTGACCTCTGCGCGCGGGCCGCCCTATATCACGGCCGGTAAAGGGGAACAGAGGCGGCGACACGGCCCGCGGCCGCTCCGCACCGCCCGACTGACGGCTGCTGAATGGTTCATCAGCTCAATCAATGTTACTCCGGCGGCGGCGCTTCTCACAGGCCCTTCACAGCCATGGCAAAACGGCCGGGTACGCGAAACTGAGCCATAGTGGCGGTGACCCTGCGCGTTTCAGAGCGGTTTTTCCGTGCGACGGCACTCCGACCGGGCCAGGTGGTCGGCGGGCGCAAACGATTCCCGCCCTTATCGACTGCTTCACCGCTCGGCCGGGCGGCGCTAGTGGCATGCGGCCGGGCCGGCTGTGTGAGACCGCCGTCGCTGCGTTGAGGAGGAGCGGTCGGGGCGGCGGGGCCTCAGTTGGTCAGTCGCGGGACAGGGGTGAGGGTGTCGCTCGCTCGCTCCCCAGTGGACAGTCGTACTACCGGCCTGTGACGCAGAGCGAGACGGTCCGCAGTGCTCAGAGGACTATGAACGGCCCCCTGTTGTGTGCCGAACAGCCCATGGATCCGGCCGCCCGCAGCCTCGCCCACAACGACGCGGTCATCTTCCGGGATGACCGGGTGCTGGAGTCTCTGCTGCGCACCGAGCACTCGTACATGCCCGGAGGCAGCTACTTCCAGACCACCCAGAACGACATCCAGCCCTACATGCGCAAGATGGTGACATCGTGGATGCTCGAGGTGAGGCCTTTCTCCGGTTTCTCAGTGGGACACCCAGTTGTTCCTTTCCCCGCAGTTTGGGACCATTTATCGATCGGTGCTGTGAATCACCTCACGTCTAAACACCAACACCCCCAGTGTTCCTTTTATGGCCGGCGCTTGTTCGAAGGCCGCTGCGTGCCTGTTCGTGTCGCTAGGATCTCGAGAGAGCCGCCGCTTTGTGTCCCACTAAGGTCATTAAATCCTCGAGAGAAACACCGAGATTTAATTTACGTCTCGAATTGCTGGCCCAGTTTTCGTGGCGGCAGCGCCCGCACGCTTTCTTTTCCAGCCACTGTGAATGGGGCGCCGGCTAGTATCAATGGCTGTAATTGGCCAGAGTTGTCACCGATCCAGTTGCCATGGTGACACGTTTACGACATCGCCCCGCCTGTTGAGAGGCGCCGTGAGAGATGAGCCGTTTCGCAAGCGGCGCCGGCCGACAGGCGCTGCCGCCGACCCAGTCGAAAGTGGCGATTTCCGCTCATTTCGGGAGCGCAGGAGACTGCTGAGCTATCTAGGTCACCGCCGAAGTCATGGTGGAGGTCGTCAAGTGTCCCACGCTTTGGGGCAGACATCTGACATTACTATTTGCATTGTAATTGTAGTTGCCATTGGACGTGACTTGGTAGTCGACATGCCGGCACCGAGTCCCACTTCCCCGCGCAGGTCCCTCCACCCCTGCGCCGCCCCGGCACCCCTCACTAACCCTGCCCTCACGGGGCCGCCTGCACAGGTCTGTGAGGAGTTTGGCTGCGAGGACCAGATCTTCCCGCTGGCCGTCAACTACCTGGACCGTTTCCTGTGCCTGCGCCGCATCTGCCGCGGCCAGCTGCAGCTGCTGGCCGCCGTCTGCCTGCTGCTGGCCTCCAAGATCCGGCAGTGCCGCGCGCTCAGCCTGGCACAGCTCGTCTACCTCACCGACTTCTCCGTCACCGAGCAGCAGCTCAAGGTCAGTTCGCGCCCCGGTGGTCGCACAGGGCTCTTTGCGCTCCCTTGGAGGCCTTGGGTCTTATGCACGGGTCAGGTTCGTGGAAGGGGAAACACGACAGGTCGTACTTAGGATGGACATTAACCCTTCGTTAGCCGCTGCTGTACCCAAACTCAGTCCCTCTAATCATTTCCACACGAGTTCGCGGCGGTCCGAGGACAGCAGCGAGTCCTTGGAGCGGCCGGTCCGTCCTCTCCCGGGTCGGGTTCTCACGGCCCCGCGTGCCGGCCGGCCGGCGACAAACACGCTAACGGTGCCGTCAGCGACGCCGCCGGTCCGGCAGCCGGTGCCCGCTACCCTTCTGCGTTTAAAGCGCCGGCCCGGCACGCCGAGCATGTGCCATCGCCGGCCGGAGGGACGGCCGGTCGCCGCGACCTCGCGCCGCTCTGAGGCCGTCTTTGTTGGCGCGCACGCATTCCTAGCGGCGGTGATACGGCGTTTGGGTCGCCGTGCGCGGCCGGGTGCAGGATGTTTTGGCCGACGAGAGGGGTACCGTTGCTCGAAACGGGGTCTCCGTATTTACAAGTGACCCCTCGGAGAATGGGGCACCCGGACCTGAGTGGGTCCGTTTTGGGACAACGGGCCGCCGCGCCGGGGGGACGGCGTGCCAGGGGCTGCCCGTTATCTCGGCGACCTCCGAGCACCTGGCCACCCTTCGGCTCGGCGGCGGGTGGGCCAGACGGTGTCGCAAGGAGGCACTCGGGCCGGCCGGTCACCACCTGTCCCGCACGGCCCGGTTGCCATGGTGACCGCGCCCGCGCCGTGTCGCGGTCACGCCCGCGGCGCCGGTCGCGTGCGCCGGCTTTGTGTGGGCGTCATCGTCGGGCGAGCACACGCCTCACAAATCCATTATCATCTGCGCTGATGCGCGCGATCGCTCTTGCGCGAACATTGGACTGGCTTTTTCGACGACGGCGGGATTTAAAACGCCATAAAAAGTCCACATCTGTACCGATCGACGGCAAATTAGTCTCCGGCAGCCGGCGGTGTCCAAGGCTGGCGGCGACTACACAGGGAGCGCGGCTCATTTGCCGCGACATGTCCGTACGCGGCGCCGATGAGACCTTCAAACTGACACTATCAGCGGCCACGGCGGCGAGTACGCACTGGACCGACTGACAGGCGACGAATTGTGAGACATCTTGTCGACGGCCGGCGATTTTCGTCTCAGGTCCCTCGCAAATCGCCCCCCGTAGCGGGGCCGGCGCAGTTGTTGGCGCAGCGGGCAGCGGTGCTGCGCCGGCCCGGCGCGGTCCTCCGTCGCCGCAGGAGGTAGCCGGTGCCGATTAAAGTCTGCTCGACCCTCCCCTGCGCGCGGCGGTGACTTTCACCGTGCGCCGCTCCACCCGTTCGCCGGGCTGCGGCGCTCGGCCGGCCCTTTGTTGGCCTGTAGCGGGCGGAGCGCTCCTCTCCGGGTCCCGTGCGGCCGCCGTCCGCCCCTTCCGGCGCTGCGATACTGCCGAGATGACGGCCCGGCGCGCCATTACCGTCTCAGACGTGCACGGCCGCGCGCTAATTGCAGGCATCCGGCGCCATAATTAAACCGCGCCGGCGCGCGACCTCGCCCGTGCGTTACCTTGCGGCGCACCGCCCGTAATGGGCCGACCGGTGGGCGAGAACAAATGAAGCGAGCTCGTTAAAAAGTCGCCGCCGTCAGTGTCGCAGCTTTGATCGATTTACTCGTGTAATGGCGACATTTTTGTTGGCCGGAGATGCATGAAGATGGATTTGTACGCGCCGGTCTCCGCGGTTCACGGACACCAAGACACGGCTCGTTTGGGCTGTGCTGGCCCCGTCCTCGGCCGCCCGCCTGTCGACGAACGAGGCGGACCGAGCGGCCTTGGCGAAGTGACCGCCCGCGCAGAGACCGGCCCCAGATGCCATGAAGATAGGTCACCGTATTCAGAGAATGTTTTAAAGGCGGGTCTCGGGAGATATGAGGCCGTCACGGTCTGTCAGAATTTATGTCGCATCATTTGCGGGTGACGTGCCGTTCCAATGTCAGAATTCCGCCTCCGACAGTCCAGTGAACGACGGTACCGAGATTGCCGTCCTCGGCTGACATATGTAGATACTCCCGAGCCGAGTTTCAAAGCCAATGACGATGACTGGCCAAGCTTCAAATGCGCTTACAGTAACATTGGTGCCTGTGACAAAGGGCCACGGTTTTCCTAAGTGGCCTAAGGCCATGGTTTTCCTCGGTGGCCTGTCGCAGGCCTCTTTCTTCTTTTCTCCATTACGAAACTGCACTAACTTTCCAAAACTCGGCCGACACCACAGTAGGGAGCAGGGCTGGCCGTGTCGGCGATGGCCAGCCGGTGGTCGGTGGCTATATCCGAGGCTGCGAAGGTCCGCAGGGATGCCGCCCGGCGCTCCGCATTCCAGCCGTTTTTATCTCTTTGTCGGCGGCGGAGCCAGTCCTTGAACCCGCCGGCCGCCGAAGGACTCGCCGAGGAGGACACGGCGCTCAATGGGGGCGGCCGCCGGCGCACCCGGCGGTGGAGGCGGAGGTTGCGGTGGGTGTGGGAGTCTCGGGGGTCGGATGCCGCCGAAATTGCCGTGGCGGCGGAGGCGCCTCGGTGGGCGCGCGCCGGAGACATTCCGCCCCGGAGACACAGGCTAACGAGCTCCGGACATGGCACGTCGCGCGCTGCGCATTCCTCGCTCCGGTTCCCTGTTATCGCCGCTCCGCCCCCGCCGCCGAACCGGCGCCCGTGTCCTATGATTTGTACTCAGCCAGAGTAAACAGAAAAACTAGCGCGGCCTTGCGTTCGGCATTGCCTGCGACGCCGCCGCCGGGCGCGTTATTCATTGCGCACCCATAAGTCAGCCATTTCCTGTCGTTTTCGGCCAAGAATGCGTTTCTTGCGGCGGTGGCGGGCGCCGGACCGGCGGCGGTGGCGGCGGCGGCCCGAACGCTGTCGTCGCTGCCCCGGACCGACCGTCCCGCAGCCCGCTTCCAGGCCAGTCCTAATTAAAACTGTGCCCTCCCGGCCTATAATTATCGATAAAGTATGCCTTCATTTGTCCATAAATCGCGGTCAAGAAGGCGACGGCGCCGCGGCGCGCCGATTCGCCGTGGGTCTGCGGGCCGGGTCCGTGGACGGGGCGGCGACTCAGGGGTGGCGGCGCAGACAAACAGAGCCGGCCCGGCCCGGCCTAGGTGGGTCTGTTTGACGGAAACCCCGTATTTATCAGTCGGCAGCCGTGTTTGCCTTTGGCGGCCTCTCGCCGGCGGAAACCGGGCCGACAAGGGCTTCGCGCCGCCGGAAGAAGTGTTGTGCTATGTGCTCCTCTCACCGCCATGTTTGTCCTTTCACAGGAGTTTGAGCTGGCGCTGCTGCACCGGCTCAACTGGGACCTCAACTCCGTCACCAGCTTCGACTTCGTGGAGCAGCTGCTGTCCCGGCTGGCGCTCAAGAGCAACGCCCGCTTGATACGGCGTCACGCGCACACGTTCATCGCTCTGTGCACCACAGGTAGGAATGCTGACCCTATCTCATCTCGGACTCGTTTGCCTATCCATCCATCTCCTCTATGAATCATGTGCCCTGGCTCTCATCGCCCAGAGGAACTGCGCGTTGGGGCCCCAATCGCGCCCCCCAGAGCGCGGCGCCGCCCTGCTCTGGCGCCGCTGACTATAGTCACGCGGTGAGCTTGTGTGTACACACTGGGCTGGCGCTCCGGGCGCCCGGATAGTGCTCCGATCAGCTGGCCGTTGCAGCCAATGAGAGCGCGCCGCTGGCGCCGCCGACCAATCAGCGGCCGGCGCCGAGCAGATGTATTGCAATGCGGGCTCTGTTTTGCCCGTGAGAGAATCGATCGATCGGCACGTGCGCGCGCGGGCGGGGGAGCGGCCGAGGGTGATGTATTGAAACGCACCACCGCGCGGGCCGGGAGAGTGATATCGATTGGTGACGTGCCATTACATGACGCCGTGCGGTGTACTCGTTAGGCCCGTATTACAATTACTGAGGGATCGTGCGCCACTGGTGCCAATTACCCCCACCCAGGGTCGGTGACATATATAATAAATACACTACGGCGCGCAGATAAAAACGACAACGCGTGATACCGAACCGACGTTTTGTGACCGCGCGAGATAATTGTGGCCCAGCGGCGTTTTTCTTTTGATGTTCTGCCTGGCCCTGGCCGCCAACTTCCGGCGGCAGCTCACCGAAATAGTGCGGAGTTATCGACAAAAAGCTGTCGGGGACGTGCGCCAACAAAGACCGTGCCATGGAGCCGGAACCGGCATGTAGCGGACATGTTTTCAGTTCCTCCCCAGCGCCGCTACGTACGAAGTGTCGACGGGCCCCGTCAGGGACAACTTTTCGCGTCGGGCTCCCATTGGAGAGCTATTCCTGTCTCCACTCGGAGAAACCCGTGCGCAGCCCCACAAAGACGTGGCGGAAACTAACTCATCGCGCCGCGTCAAAACGAGATTTATCCCCGATAGTTTATGCTTATTAGAAAAGCGTGGGAGCGTCGGGGGCGGTCTGACGGTGGGGTGGGCCGCCACCAGAAAAAGGCGGCACGACGAAAGCCGGCGCCGACCGCCTCCGTCGCCGCAGACGACGCTCCCACCGCGCTCAGATTTCATCCCAGCGCGAATCGGCCGCGCTTCGCGGTAATTTTCGCGTGAAGCGTCGATGCCGATGCGGCCCGCTCCATGGTTCTGTCGTGACCGATGGACCGATCGGCGGGGCACCGGAAGCGACAGACGACACCCCCGCTGCCGCCGGCGCGTAAAAAACGTCGCGTTCCGCCTGGTCTTTAAACACGGCGACGTTTCCGTTCCCCATTTGGCCGACGTAACGGGGACAGCCGGCCGGCGGTCGTCGGTCGTCTGTGTCGGGGCTGCGGACCACCCCCGGCCCTGCCCCGCTCCGACGGCCGTCGGGGCCGTCTGGGACGGGCGCCCTGTCATCTGACCCGCCGCCGCCGCCGACGGTCGTCGGTCCGGCGCGGTGACGTCACGGCCGCCGCCCCTCGTCGGTTGTGTACGGTCCAGATGTGGCCCCGGCTGGCCGCGGGGCGCCGCCGGGGCCCGGGCACCTGCGCTCTCAGCGAGGGACGAGAGGGCATGGGAGAGCGGGCCGGCGGCTGCGGCAGCCCGCCGCCCCACCCGGACCAAATCCGCCCGGATGAGCGCGGATTGATGTGCGCAGACGAGCAGACAGAGCGCCCCGCGAGTCGGCTGTTTGTTTGACAGCTGCGACCTCAGTAATCCGGGCAGCTGCGTGCTCCTCTCACGTGATTCACTTATCAGTGATTCACTTACGGCTACCTGATACTGTCAAACCTGAGCGCTGTTCACACGTGAGCAATGACCAGCCGCTCCCGGCCGGCCCAGTTCCACGTGTTACACCGTCACGGCGCGGGCGCTGTTTGTGCCCGTCACGGGCGCGTGACGCGTGACAGCGCCACGGCGCCCTTCCGGCCGGAACGGGCGCTGGCCGGGCCGGATGTGTCGGCCACGGCCGTCCGACTCAATCAGACACACTTCCGATCGAGCCGGTGATTTAAACCTGCGCCGCCCGCCGCGTGGTGACTGATGCGATCACGGTCGTGACGGTCCCGGCCGACCGTCCGGGTCCGGCCCCTGTGTTCCAGAGAGTCGCGGCAGTCGGTCGGTTCTAGGCCAACAGAAGCGTGGCCCAGGGAAGCGAGGCATGGGCAGTAGCCCTGATTGCGTTTGATCTAATTCTAATGAAGGCGTGCCGCCGCGCCGGCGGTCTGCCTTTCAAGGCGCCGGCCGCAGACCCAAATCGTTTCATAACCGCCGCGCCGACTGTTATTAGGATATCAAGTGATACCCCATAAAGAGTTTCTCCTTAGAGGCGCTGTTTAAAGCCCGGTAACCATATGCTATTATCGACCGTGGCCGCTCTCCGCCTGTCCCGGCCCGTGTGTAACCTACTTTCAGCCAGCGTAGAGCCTCTGCTTTCGATTAGACGACGCTGGGACCTTTAAAAAGTGAGCGGACTCGCGATTAGGCGCGCCGTCTGGCTGCGGGTCGCTGGCGGCCGGTGAAAAGGAGCGGCGCCTGGTAACGGAGCGGGCCGCCCACCTGACCTCCGACCCAGATAGCGGGCCGGGTCAGCCAGCGAGCGCCGCGTGGCCACCGCCGGCGGCCGGCCGCGCGCGCCCCCGGGCGCTGACAGCGGCGCCGGCGCGACCGGCGGCTCCCACGGAGCTGGGAGCCGCAGAGGAGCCGCCGGCGAGTGACGCGCCGGCCCCGGCCGCCGCGACGCACTCCAGAGAGGGGTTAAATACCTGTTGGGGAATTTCACACGGCGCCCGACCGACTGGTTCCCCTTGGGAGCGGCCGCATTCCAGCCAGAGCGGGCCACCTGGCGAGCGACTTCAGGCCGGGCCGGGGTGTCGCCGAGCGCCCCTCCTCTCCGCCAGTGGAGCGGACCGCCCGGAATGGCCAGGGCCAGACCGACCTCGGCCGCGCCGCCGCGCCGGAATTCCGCCATTTTCGCCTTGGAGAGCCGAATTTCTCCGGCCCGGTTACGGCGCGGGTTCCGACACGCCGTCCCGTGACCTCGAGCTGGCGACATGTGTGCGCCGAGAGCGGCCCGAGCTAGCGCTGGGAGCTGGCGGCGGCGAGGTGACGGCTAGAGGCAGCTGTGGTAAAAGCTGTGAGCTGTACTCATGGCAGAGACCAGAGTCATCATCTTCTTAGTCCATATCGGGGAGACTCTATTAGAAGCCAATCTAAAAGCCTCAGGTTTAGACTGCGATGGCGCTGTGCGGAAGGGGTCAGTCCGTCCTGAAAGGGAGGGGTGAGTCCATCGCCTCCACAACACAGCACGGTCAGACGGCAGATGGCGCGGCTCGACTAATTGGCCGGTAAGACGCGGCGCGGAAGGGTGCACGGTGCGTCTCCCGCCGGGCGCCGATCGCCGGGCTCGTAATTAATTACCGCCGTGAGCAGTGGGCCAGGTGCGGCCACCCTTCCTTCCTGCCGCCCTCCGCCGGGCATTGTCTCGGGACCGCGCGCGGTGACGGTGGCCGGCTTCGAGCGCCGCCCCGATGACGACCTCTGATGACGGGTCGCCGCCGGAGGTGTCCCATAGATGGATGACGGCCTGTCGCCGGCGCACGCGACGAGAAAGTCCGCCTCCGCGGCGGCCGGCGCGGGGCGCGACCCAGAAATGAGGCGCGATTGGCGGTGACCGGCCGCTCCGTTCATCACTGCCGCACTGACCCGCCCGCTGCCGCCTGCCAGGTGGCCAGCCGGGCCTGTTTACACGTGCTGGCCCGCCCTCTCATCCCGCCGGCCCTCTGTCCTGCTCCGCCGCTCTGCCGGCCGCGTGCGAGAGGTCGGCCGGAAGGGTGGCAGGCCACGCGGCCACGGCAGCCCGCGGCGCCGCGTGTACTACTTGTTTACTACGGTTTAAAGCCCGCTGCGCCGCTGCGGTCCTTGCCCCCACGCTCCTCTCTCCGCTGAGATGCCGGGCATTTAAACGCAATCAGGCTGGAAGCGTAGAGCGCCACCGAGTTGTTTGCGTCGCCGGAGAGAGAGAGAGAGCGGGGTGAGCGGCACGGCAGCGCCACAATGCTGTCGCCGAGTGGCCCGCCGGGCACGGCGCCCACCCGCGTGGTCGGCGCCCACGTGGGAAAGGTCGGGCAGTAGCGCGATCGGTACGCCCCTCGAAGATACGGCGTGTACCGCGACGAGCAGGCAGCACGCGGGACGAATCGTAGCCACCGAGGGCACAACAGGAGGGATTTTGGCCTTCCGACAGGCGAATCATTCCGTCATTTCGACCCACTGCCCGTAGTGATGTGTGTGTAGTGTGCACTGTGCTGTCCTCTGGTGAGCGTTCTGCGACCTGTGGCTGACCGCCGTCTCTCTCCTGTTGCAGAGGTCGAGTTTCTGGAGACGCGGCCGTCGCTGGTGGCCGGAGCCAGCGTGTGCGCCGCCGTGGCCGGCATGAAGCTGGCCTCTGCCGAGGAGACGGTGCCGCAGGTGGCCGCCTGCCTGCGGCTGGAGCCCGACCAGGTGCGCCGCCTGATGAGCCGCATCGAGGAGATGGTTCAGTCGGAGATGGCCAGCGCCCAGGTGAACGCCGTCACCGCCGGCGCCAAGCACGCCGTCAGCGCGGCCAGCAAGCAGCAGCCGCAGCCGGCCGAGGAGGAGTGCTGTCAGCCCGAGACGCCCACCGACATACAGGACATCCTGTTCTGACTCGGAGAGTGACAGACAGACAGACAGAGAGAGACACCGGCGGCCGAACCGCCACCTATCGTGCAAATATTGTTATGCCGTTTGATAAGGATCTGATTCGGTCGCGCGCCGCGACGGGGAGCGAGAGGATCTCATGTGCGTTCCGTTTCCGTGCAGGTGACCACCCAAAGCTGTGTTATCGTTTGTGCGCGTTGTGTGGGGTTTTGTACTTGTATCATACTCAGCGCTGGCGTCGGTGTGCCGCGGTGACCTGGCAACTGTTGCCAGGTCGGGAGGCGTCCCCGCGGCGAGTAGTCCGATGTCGTCCGACGTGCTCTTGTAGACCCTGTAATTTCACCATACGTGTTTATTTTATTTGTTGCAGAATTCAGCAATATGTTTTTATTTGCCAGACTTATTCTTGTGTCTTTGGCCAGTCAAGTTTACCTTATCTACAAATATCCACCTCATAAGCCAAATGGTGCTCTCAAGAGAAATGCTCAGTAGTACGTATGTCGAGGCATTTTCTCCCCAACTTTGGGAATTTATCTAGTCGACTGTATTAAACATCTTTGTAATTGTATATAGTTATCCCCGAATGCACATCATTTTTGAATTTTGTACAGCTTCGTACCGAGTGTTTTCTATGTAAAAGAATACTATAAAAAGAAATATATGGTCAATTAAATATAAAGTTGTGTTTGAAAGGGCCAATGCAAAATCTGCATTCAATGCTCATGAATATTACATCATCTACACAGTGTTCATCGACGACGATAAGCAGCATGCACATAATTTATTGAATGCACAGAAAGTAATCAACAACGCTGTTAAAAACGAAAAAGACACAAAACAAATATTCAATTAACGGGCGAAACAGAATACCATGAGATGTTTGCGGTTAGCTTCCGTGAGGTTCATACGTGATGACATCAACGTAGAACATAATTGGTTCAATGGGGTTGGGAACTCGATTTTTTAAGAATGCATGAAAATGATCAAACTATTTTCACAGAATTTATGGTGCATACCATTGCCTCATAAAATCAATAAGCTGAGAGAAATGAGGGAAGAAAGATAGGAAACTTGTTTTGAAAAGTTCTTGAAAAAAGATGCTCTTGATGCTGTTACGTCACATGTCACCTTCTGCGGTTGACAAATAATGGCGCATCTGGCGCACCACAGATTACATGTTATATCAATGGGTGAAAGATGTTGTTTGCTTCACTCTGCCATTTGCGCTGTTTTTAACTTTAAATTATGCTAAAACATTTACGGATGAAATGTTCAGTGTCAAAAATTGATGTGTCTGCCGTGTACTATATTCCCACTTAACATGAGCGCGTGATAAACATTTTATGTACCTTGAATTTTCAAATGATAAAGATGATGAATCGGAGGATGCTGAAAAGCAAAAGCTCATTCCAATATTTGGACTACTTTACGATTAAAATGTTTACATTTATGTTTACATTCCTGTCATCTTATTGATCATTTATTTGTTCTTCTTTTATGAAAATAACTTAAGGCGTTGAGAACCGAGGTAATTTCTATCTACCGTGCCTTAACTTACCAGCAACAGCAATCTATCTACGCCCTACGGTGGCAAGGGAGACTGTGAAAGAAGCGTAAGATGGATTCTAAACAATTCTTTTGTGATATACTGAAGGACAAAGTGCAGAGAAGAGCGTACAAGTCCTGTTTTGTGCCAGGCTGTTGCAGTAGCACTTATGAAACTCCGAAAACGATCTTCGTTCATGTCCCGAACAACACTACCCTGAGGAGATGATCGTCTGCAATAGCAGGAAGAGCTGATGCAAGTACTTTGAAATCCACTATCAAGTCGGTGCTATTGTTGTAATGATCACTGTGAGGTGAGATATTTTGTGCAAGGGCTGAGTGTAATGCCCAGGAAATGACCTCCATTCGCCCCCTGACCGGTCAGGGTTATAAAATTTGAGTGGATGGCGGTCCGTTTGGGGTTCAGATGTCAATTGTATTTTGTTACTGTCAAACAATACATGTTATGCTGGCAGCGAATGTGTGTAACGTCGTTTTTCGAAGCAGAAGTTAGAACTGTAACGGCAGAGTGCTTGCTGGTCTCATCGTAAGTATTGTAAGTGTTGTAAGCAAAAGCATTGTCAATATTGTAAGTACCTATTGTGAGCATTGATGTATGGTAGATATCACCTCACATGATCTCGGCTCAGATAACCCTCTCCGGTGTCCCTGTCAGTAAATGGCACCTGGATCATTACAGATAAGATAATTTGTCATAATTCTTAAAGAATTGGGTGGTTTTGACTCGTTTACTCGAGGTGCAGGTCGCATTTCAATACTTTTCCATAGGCTTGCAATGTAAAGGTCACGACTCTGACCTAACCTCAGGTCACAGATCAAAAATTCTGAGATATACAAACGACACATACTGCAGGTACTGTTTTGAAGACTTGATGAGAGGAAATAACTTCGTGAAAAACTCAAGCTCTGACGTGTTTGCAAACTTTTCTGAGGTGGGGTCAACAAACCCGCTCTGGTTACCTGACCTGACCTGACCCGGCATTTTTTTTTTTTTGCTGAGATGTGCGCAATGAGCATTTAGGAAAAGTCACCAAATATGAGCTGAATGTCTCGCGGCGTTTGACAATTGTACAAGAAAATCCTGAAAGGTCTCCCCGTCCGAAATAGGGTTAATGTGTATATGAAGAGTTGCAGATGCCAAACATACCCAGATCTAAGACTGCAGTTCCCAGCGCCGCTGCAACGTTTTTAAAACAAACATGCATAGGACATACAAACATGTACATAGGATACATAGGATACATAGGATGACAGGCGAATAACCGCTCACGCAAGGAGCGGAGCTCCGCCCCGTCCAAAGTGGCCAACAAAGCAGAGACAGAGGCAGCATCACATCTTCCATCAAAGAACTGGTTTCTGGCTTGGAAGATGAGCTCCATCTTTGCATCCGAGTCGGTGCTGTCAGGAATCAGCTGGTCTAATGGAGTGAGAGTAGTGAGACGACTAGCTATTGTATCAGAGCTGCCTGGTCTTCGTAGCATTTGTACCGATTCTTCTCGATCGGACTCTGAATTCTGTTCCTCCTGCGTATTACTTGAGGCATTGCTATGTAGCTAAGTCTTTGGCAGAGTTTCATTATCCATGCTTTGCAAACAGTGCCATAACAACACAGTTAATTAATCACCAAGCTTCTTTGCAAGTTCCAATACAGTTGAATCGCACGCGATTTGAGTGCAAAAATCAAGAAAAGTGCCAACTTGTTCCCGTAAAATATTTTGAATATTGACCTAAAAAAATGAGTAATTTCCAGATAAAATAACAGCGAAATCAGTTTTCGCTTGCCAATAAAACTCACAGATATTGAAGCTCCATTATTAAAGGAACATTTTAGTATATGCCATTCTTGATAAAACTTCTTAGCCACGCAATACCAGCGCAAAATAAAGAGACACTGAAAACACGACCAATCACTCCGATTTACCATAGGAAAATACATAGAAAATGTATGTCTCAACTGCGCCAAATATACAGACAGTTATATACCTACATGTGACGTCATGATTAGCCCGACCAATCAGAAGCAAGTTGTTTTCAGCCACAAATAATTAATTTCTGAACTAACTAGGCATTTTTTTAACAAAGTGATTTTAAATTAAATCATTAAAAATTCTGAGCTTTTTTATTTTACCAAAACATACAGAGCATGCAGATAGGTCCCAACCCTATTATTTTTGACCTGTTACTTCGAGTTGTACACTCGAAGCAACAGATCGAGAATATCTTCTCGGTGTAATATTTTGATGTTTACCTACGTCTTTATTATATACCTACATAACATGATGCGGTATTATGCAGTTCAATTAAAAAGGAATACGACCAGGAGCATCAAAACTGGAGGGGGATAATCCTTCCACTCCGTGGACAACATTCCCTTCCCCCCTCCCCTGTGGCGCCGCCCATGCTCCTCCTCTACATGGTGTCCGGAAAGTCCTGGTGCTTTTATACATAGTTTTAAAGAAATTCCCTTGCTTCATACATAGTCAACAATAGATCAATGATCAAAACAATGACCGGGGACACCAAGCCACATCCTTCCGCTAACTTCATTCAATGTAATCGCTTTCGGCGCCGACGACGGCCTAGACGCGGGACGAAAGCGCCTGCGGGTCTGAGCGAAAAAGGATATTTCCATATCCTTCCATGCTGCCATGATGCGAGTCTCCAACGACTCCAGGCTGGGATGAGGGGTGGCTTAGAACTTATTCTGCAGAATGCTCGTCACGCCGTAGTCGAGCGGGTTGATGTCGGGAGAACAAGGCGGCTTAATCTTATTCCACCACAGGTGATCTGGCCCACCGAACTCCCCTGTCAGTTTGGCTTGGACAGCAGCGGCGCTGTTGGAGGGCGCTCCGTGCTGTTGGAATGCAAAGCGACTCTTTGGACAAGTCGCCGTGACCCTAGGGTTAATGTGCCTGTCCAGGAACCATCAGTACCTATGACCAGCCTCTTATTCATCTATTTGACGGTGACGCAGATGATAGGACATTTCTATCCATGATTTTGTTCGATCGGCGCTGAAATGTTGTTACGTTCTCGGGAGTTTTAACCTACCGTGGCCGTACTGGTCTTAGTATATTTTTTAAGGAGTTCCCGAGTCATAATAAGCCTTATCCTGCTAACACATTCGCGCAGAGAAACGCCATGCATCGTACCTACTGCAACTCGCGCCTCGTTCAAGCCACACTAGGCCGCCGCGTGCAGACATTTAGCGACAAGGCGCATCTTCGCCCATCTTACCCATCACTGAACATTATTTCAAGGTCATATCTGCTCGACCTACAGCTGACCGGTCATCGAGGGGTCATGTCTGGGGCGATTAGCTGATTTTCCACTTATCATGTTAGATGGCGTCCAAGAGAGACGCCAGAACTTTCCAGACACAATGTATGTACACGATAAATTTCGAGATACATATCGTGTGAAATTCAGTTGAGAACTCAGCTGACTTGCACGGCTACATATCTACCCCCTCCCCCCTCCCAACCCAACGGTCCCCAAGGTGGACCAAAGCTAAACTCAATCGGCCCAGCTGTAGCGGCCTATATATAATCGGTTCCTGCACGTGCGCAAGTGCAATGGCACCCGTCACCGCGGATCATAACATATATAAATAAATGCATCTCTCAGTGTCCGCCCAAGGACCGCCTAGCACATATTCCCTACCTACCTACCAATATGCTTAAAATCGAGTCAATACCTAGCACCGGGCCGAATTCGGTATGGTATGTACTTACCCGTTTACAAAATAGCCAGAAGTTGCAACACGATAGAGGTAGAATATGGGGATTTCCCGTTACGTCTGTGGAATCTCTTCCTTCCAGACGGCGGCCCGCATTACTACGAAAATGTCGTTAGCTCGGATATGACGTCAGAGATAAGACATTGCATCGAGACGGCCGGTTTTTACGCTGCTGTAATGGGGCCCTTGGGGGAGGAGCTATGCCGGGAATAGGCACAAAGAGGCTGACCGCTGACCACTGAGCATATATATGGCGTAGGACCGAGCGTTCGGCGACAGTCGCTGGCCGGAGCCGGGGGTAGTGAGTGGTGTTTTCCTCGGTACAGTTTTCCGTGTGTGGTCTGAGCGGCGCCGCGCGGCTGCCTATCCGTCCTGATGCTGCTGACTACACTCCTGTCCGTCCTGCTGGTGACGGGAGGCCTGGCCGGCCGTCCCCGCCGCCAGCTGGGCACCTTCTGCCGGGATTTCGCCGGCCGGCCGGGCACGTGCGGCGCGCCCCAGCAGTGTCCGGCGCTGCTGCGGCTGCTGGCTGCCGGAGCTCCCTCGGCAGCAGAGGTGAGCGGGATCAGACGGAGCGTCTGCGGCCGGCTGGGCCGCCAGCTGCTCTTCTGCTGCGCCAGCGGCCCGGTGCCCCAGCCCGTCACTCCGGCTCCCCAGCCTGTCACTCCGGCTCCGCGGCCTGTTACCCCTGCGCCTCCGACCCGCCGACCAGCGCCCCCCGAGCAGCACCCCAACAGGGCCATCCTGAATCGCGGCTTCGAGTGCGGCACCTCGCCGGCGGGCCGGATCGTCGGCGGCCAGGAGACCGAGGTCGGCGAGTACCCGTGGGTGGCGCTGCTCGGCTACCAGTCGCTCGACAACCGGCGCGCTCCCGTCTCGTTCGAGTGCGGCGGCACGCTCATCAGCCTGCAGCACGTGCTCACCGCCGCGCACTGCGTCGACGAGCTGCCCATCCGCGACGCGCGTCTGGCGCTGACGACAGTGCGCCTCGGGGAGCACAACCTGGACACCGCCACCGAGTGCCGCCAACTGAGGGACGGCTCGGAGCTGTGCAACCGACCGCAGGACTTCCGCATCGCGCGCGTCCAGATGCACGCGGACTACGACCGGGGCAGCAGCGCCAACGACATCGCTCTGATCACGCTCGACCGGCCCGTGGTGGAGGACACGTTCATCGGCAAGATCTGCCTGCCGTTCGGCGAGGCGGGTCGGAGGAACTACACGGGCGCGCCGCTGCGGACGGCCGGGTTCGGCCGCACGGGGCCCAGCCGGCAGTCCCCGAGCAGCCCGGTCCTGCTGGACGTCCTTCTGCCGGGCGTGGAGCAGAGCCAGTGCGCCGTCACTATCCGGCAGAACGGCGGCACGGTCACGCCGCTGCAGATCTGCGCCGGCGGGGTACCTGGCGAGGACTCGTGCCAGGGCGACTCGGGCGGGCCGCTGATGGCGCCCTCTCCCAGCGGACCACCCTTCAGCCTGGTGGGCGTGGTGTCGTTCGGAGCCGTGCGCTGCGGCGAGGGCGGAGTGCCCAGCGTCAACACGAGGGTCTCCGAGTACCTCAACTGGATCCTGGACAGACTGGACAACTGAGGTGCCCTTGACGAACGTCTACCTCAGGGAAAGGGGGAAGAGCACGGACATATCCTTCCTGACCGCATTGATTTCAATGCGAGGTAAAACATCGACCTGGTCTCAATACATAGACTCAGTTTGTATTTACCTGCTAATGTCAACTGTGTACTTACATGTGTTATTCTGCTTTTTAGCTTCTCGTATACTCGTACATCGTGCAACTTATAAGCCAAGGTCATGTATGTATGTGCTTCGTTGTAGGTACAGTATATCTGCATGGTGCAATCTCAATGCGTAGTTTGCTCATGCAGTGTCGAAGCTGTTTAGTTCCTTAGTGATCTGAGATGATCTGTGACGCTTCGTATAGTACCTATATGCAGGCATTTTTCACGAAATACATTTGTTTAAATGTGCAATGACTTTTATTGAAGGCTCGATGAAGGTATCAGGGGACAATGAGGTTGAATGCCAATCTCTAATTCACGTTGCCGTTTACGCTAGTGTAATTCGGAGGACACTTGAACTTTTATTCTCGCAGAAATTGATCATTTATGTAAAAAAGAGATACTGCCATCCAGATCACCTTCGTCTTTCGCGTTTATTGATAAAAACATAACATACAAAAATCGATCTAACTAAAGTGAGCATTTAACAGGAAACGATCTCCATCCATGCACATCGGCCTATTCCATGTGACCGAGTCCTCTCATGTCCCGTTTTGTCACGATCCCCACAGACCGTTAGTCTGGCCACCACCCTGTGACGGTCCTGGCACGTGCCCTCTGTCTGGGAGGCGGCCGTCCGTGGCCGGCCAGCCGTCCGGCGGCCTGCGGTTACCGTCGTGGCACCGCAGTCGCCACAGACGACGGAGACTGCAACGGCCGACGGGGCGCCAGCACGGGCACACCTGGACGAACCACTTCTACCGCCGCCAGCCGCCGCCGCCGCGGGGAGTTTGAATTTGAACGGCCCCTTTGAGGTCTCCGCAGAGGGCAGATGTCTTGCAATAGGTCGGCATCCAGGGAGGGATCGTGCGCCGTTTAGCCCGAGGCTCACGCCAGTGGATGCGGCACGTGCCCGCCGTTTTTAAGGAGGGGAAGGGGCCTCGAGTGGCGGTTATGACCGGAACATCGGCGGCTATTAGAGCACACCGGCTTTTCTGCAGCACGCACTCAGCAGCTGCCCAGTGGACAGTTCGGGAGGTCAGGCTGGCTCGTACATAGTGCACATGCAAAGCTATTTCAGTTGTGCGAAAAGCAGCCCATAGCAGCTGCAAGGAGGTATTTGGATTAGTAAGCTTTTGCAAAAAAAAAAGATCAGCTTTGCCGAGTTAACAGCATTTTCATCCTTCTTTAATCAGTCAATTGAATCAAATATTGATTCGTTCTATTAAGTAGGGTATTGCCGTTTTGCGGGTATTATCGGCTTTTCAATCAATCGATCGGAAATCGATAAATCCGCCAACATATAACGTCTCGAGGAGCGCAACAAGGACAAAGGACGGATGAGAAAAGAGAGAGAGAGAGAGAGGGAGGGAGAGAGAGAGAGAGAGAGAGAGAGAGAGAGAGAGAGAGAGAGAGAGAGAGAGAGAGAGAGAGAGAGAGAGAGAGAGAGAGAGAGAGAGAGAGAGAGAGAGAGAGAGAGGGAGAGGCTGAGCGCAGCCGGCGGCAGCTCGAAGGCTCCTCGGAGCTGCGCGGGTGACTCGGCAGCTCGGTGACCGGACATAGCAGCGCGGCCGGGCCCGCCGGCCGGATGTGCGTCATCGCGCCGCACCGCCGTGGGAGTCCGATCGGCGCCCTTTCACGGCTAGCGATCACGGGGCGCCGCCGGCCGGGCGCCCTCGGCCGACTCGGGACGGACGGTGCGTGCGGACCGACGGTGGAATGTTGGCCGCCGGCCTCTCGGGGCCGACAGGGTGACCCGTGAGAACACGACATCCACCGTCACGGATGTACCGGCCGTGAGACAGACACGCGCGCCGCCGCTGCATTCCTCCCGATTTCTGAAGCGGGAAATTACTCTGTCCGGGTCAGTTGGGCAGATTCACTCGCGGTGTTGTGTATGAGTGGTGAAGAATGTTATGTCTCATGCAGGAGGAAATGAGCCTCTCAACAGAAAGAATGCGAGTACCTGACATGCTCTCCGGAAATGAACGTCTGAAGGCTGTCAATCCCATTTGTCAATCCAGCATTTGAGGCTGTTGTCAATGCATAATAAGTACACCAACCACAAACAGGACAATTTCTTCGACAAACAGGACATCGATGTTCTCTTGCCATCAGCCTCACATCACAAAGCAGTCATCGATGTTCCCAATCCCACCACGAACCAATCGAAAATCATTGCCAATTGCCATCGTTTCTACCTTCCACACTCCATCCGTCGCTGCACAATGGTCACTCCCCTCCCCCCCCCCCATCTACGAGTCGCCCTATGATCCCCCCCCCCATTCCACCTCACCCATAACCCCTACCATCTACCGCTAATAACCCCTACCACCTATAACCAATCCCCGACTATTTCCGGCCACCCCATCTCCGTCCCGTCCTAATGACCCTGTCCAAAAGCTGACGTCGTGCTGTCACGCTGCGTTATGTCCCGCTGTCACACAGCGTCACGTGGTGATGCTGTCACACACAGACAACCCCTGCTGCTTCACTGCCAACCTCCGCCGCAGGGGGTTCCTCTCGGAGCGTCGTCATGTTTCAGTCAACATCGGTCACTAGCAATGGTTTCGTCCTGCCTCCCCGTATTATTTCTTCTCATTTGGCTCCTCTCGTGTGAGTTGTGACTGTACATTTATCCATTTATCCTGACTCGAGCCGTCACGTCTCCGGTTGTCTCTGAGAGTCCGGCCAGCATTCGGCACGGCAGGGCACGTCTCTGACCGGATCTTGGGCAGCTGCCGCCTCCAGCTGTCCCCGGAAGACGGTCCGGCGCGCGCCAAAGAAACAAACAACACCGGCCGACGCGCGTGACCGGGGCACTGACTCCCGCCACTCCCCGCCCCTCCCTCCGACACGGCGACAGCGCGGCACCCACGCGATGACGGCCACTCTTCGGATCTCTGTTCTTCGGATCTCTGTTCTTCTCCGACGCCGAGTCGCGTGTCGCCGGAGACGCCGCCGCACCTGGCGCCGTCGGACCGCTCACCTGGCCCGGAGCAGCTGAACGGGGCTCCGGTGGACCGGCCCCGGCCGACGCCGACGCCATGGCTCAATGGGCGCCGCAGCTCGAGAAACAGAGAGACAGAGACGCGACAGTCGCGACGCTGACGATACAATTCAGCGGCCATTGCGCAATTACGCGCCACTGTGTCGCCGCAGCGCCCGGCGGCGGCGCGCGGCGCTCAGAAGACGAACGTGGCGCCTAGGCGGCACGCGGACGCCGCGCTGGGGTCGCTCAAGCGGGAAGATGGCATTGTAGTGCAGAGATTGCGCATGAGGAACAGGCAGACAAACAGTGACAAAGAGTGGATAATCTCAAGGAATATGCTGGTATGCAAATTATTGTCAGACGCATGTTCCTCAGATGTGTACTAAGGAAACGGTTTTCAGTTGTTCTTTTGTCGCGAAGATTGCCGGTATTTGTCGGATTAGACTTGCGGAACTAGGGAGTTCGTTGGGTAAATTATGTCTGTTCAAACTTGTTTTCACACATATTTGTGCATATTGAACAAGCTGAGAGCTTCCTGATGAAGCATTCACGCGGCATAAGGGTGTGGCGTATCTGGAGCACTCATTTCCACTTAGGCACCTAGTAACCGATTTAAGATCCAGTATCACCGGATCTATATACCAGAAAATGCAGACATTTGTTCTCTTCGGGAATGCCTAAGCTACCTAAGTCACTAAAAGTGGCTTCGAATTATGTTATCCAATGCCCTAAATAGAGTCAAAATTAGCTTGCTGCCACCCCATACCTCTGGCAGGCCGTTTTCCGCTTTCATCACGCCATTTCTGCGGCTCGTTCCACATTGAGCGGACCGAGTCCAGCCGCGGGCGACGCGAGTCGCGACTGACCGGCGGACGGCCTCGGCACTGCCTAATGGGCAATGGTGGCCGCAGTGATCTTCCAGCGCCCGCCTAATTATTCACGATTACCGGATGAGTAATGGAGAGAGCGAATGGGTTCCCCGCGCCCCAGCTGACGGTCGCGGCCCGAGCGCACGCGCGACCAGCACGCGCCAGCCGCCAAAGAAACGGCGCGCACCCGCCTAATAGGCGCAGCATTGTGAACCCGGTGCCAGGCGGGTTATTAAAGTGGTCAGCGGTGTGTAATTCAACTCGGCATTATTACATCCGAGACGCACAATAAAGCTTGTCGGCCTTCCTTAAATGGGTTTGACCTTCTTGTTGGGTGCGGTCCCCTTCAAAGCCCCTTACACATTAAAATAGGCGCTTTTTGTAAATTATATCCTTTTGACATCATCCGTATATAATGAAGTCATTCTTATATGTTGCTGATTGCTTTTTACTATCTTGCCCATTTCTTTCTAATGAAACATTAGATTTAGCTATCAAAAGGAGCACCATTCCCGTGCATTGGGCTAGCTAACGTTTATCGTTAGAGCTCGTATTATCAAGCTAGGTAGACAGCCATGTATGTGCCTACTTAGGTGGTATGCAATAGGCATGCAATGCATCCCGAGATAATAGCCAAACTGACTCCTTTGTCATTGGTCGACTTCTCCCCGGTTAATCACCACTCGCTACCCACTCTAGATTGATGGCTGGATTTTTTAAATGTCAATGTTTCTCACGAGAACCTGTTTGAATCTCCTTGTTGTGTGTTTGTATGCTGCGCGCTTACCAAGGTGATCCGCTTTCCACCGGTATGTGATGTAAAAATCACCAACATCGAAGCTGCTCTGCAGCATTTGCAGATTCCAACATACAGAGAACACTGCTCCGGAGCGAGAGAACACGCTTGCGAACACCGGCGCACACCAATCACCTGCGACACGACGGCAGGACGGCGGTCGGAGAGGGTGGTCACACCAGCCTGCCTCCCCGGGACTGGAATGTGCCCCGGCTGCAGGCCGAGCCGCTGCGGTCTCTGCCTCTTGTATACTGGACACAGGTCGGAATTCTAGCTCCATCATCAGCCTAGCAACATCAGCTGGCGGTAGTGCCCTACTCATGTCTCTGCAACGGTTGCACGTATGCCTGATACAACGTTTGCCCATTCCTCTTCCTAAAGCCATGTCTTCCCTCTTCACACTGAGCCCTAAACAGTTGTCCGTTCTCCCTCCGTTCATCAGATCATTTCCGTTCCGTCAGACGGTATTCTCTCCAGCAGATCGTTCCTCTCCATCAAAGCCTTCCGGCTCCCTGAAAACGTTCCTCCAGCACTGCACTGCCCACCAATTCCTCTCCATCACACCGTTCCCTCTCCGTCAGACAGTCCCGTATAC